TGGTGGGAGGCGAGTGCCATTTCACCACTGCAGCTCCCCCTATTCAAACAATAGAGTGTTTCTGTCGAGGAACTATCGGCTGATAGTTGCCCCTTGGAAATTTGATGTTCTTAAAACTAGCATATTTGCCCTCGAAACTTCGCGGGCAAATATTTGTTTTAAGAACATCAAATTTCCAAGGGGCAACTATCAGCCGATAGTTCCTCGACAGAAACACTCTATTGTTTGAATAGGGGGAGCTGCAGTGGTGAAATGGCACTCGCCTCCCACCAGTGTGACCCGGGTTCGCTTCCCGGACCCACCGTCATTTGAAGGTAGAGTTTGTTGTTTGTTTTTCTCTAGGTTCTCCGGTTTTCCTCCCTCCACAAAAACCAACACTTCTAAATTCAAATTCGATGTCATACACGTACACTTTATAACGAGCTCTAAGCTCTTTCGTTATACGTGGCTAACCAAATTACATTTACACTTTATTTTTTACATGACCTGTAACGGGAAAACAAAACAACACGTCAAATTCAATGTTCAGGGGTGTTTCGGCTGTTCCGGTGTTCCGTGATGTTCCGGGGTGTTCGGTGTTCCGGGGTGTTCCGGTGTTCCGGTGTTCCGGTGTTCCACATTTTAGTACATGCCATAAAAAATAGGAAACTTAGGTGAGAATTCACAGCTCTGGCATAGAAAATATACTCATCCGTTAATTGCAATAGCACAGCTTAGGAAATAAGAGTGGAAAAGTAATTAAAAGTTTCTGCTTACCTACACGAGGTTGGTGTGGAAACTATCGTATGAAAGGAAAGTAACTGAAATTACGAGTTTAACTCAGCGGCCAACTACCATATGAAACAACATTTTTCCAGAAAGACCATTAACACTTATATTTACCTAAAATTACAAAAAAAGAACGGACAACAAAAGTTCCGACATGCAGGTGCATGATGGAAGCGAATAACAAGCAAAATCTATTCCGAAAGCCACTGTCGTTTTTATACATTTTAATTTAACTTACTAGAAGGAAAACCCGAATAACCCAATATTTCAAATGCGAAAGTATACGAATACATATGGAAGATATTTGCCCCAAAAACCTATGGAAACCCTAAATGTAATATTTTATGACACACATTAACAATTCAATTTTTCTGATTACAGTAGAATCCCGATTTCTCGAACCCTCGGTTTCTCGAACCTCCCGATATCTCGAACCAAACCTTGTTTCTTTTGGATTTGCTTCACTTGTAATTTCACCCCCGTTTTCTCGAACTCCCGATTTCTCGAATCAATTTGCGTTTCCCCTGGAGGTTCGAGAAATCGGGATTCCACTGTATAATTTTTACAATAATAACAACAATTTGATTAGAACAACTCGTTCATCATTCCTGTCGAGTCGAAGAACGAACAGAATACAGAAACTAGGTCGAAACCGGTAAAATAAATTTGAACTGCGCGGCCGTAAAATACTGAAAATTGTTCAAAACTAAAACACATAGTTTTTCCCCGAACATATTTAGACAATTCCCCTGCAAAAAAACAAAGCAAAATAAAAAGCAAGGAAACCTGGCGATTTGTCCTAAAAAGAAACTTCTTATCAAAAAAGTGGAAATTTAGAAAATGGTAGCGGAAACACGATTCATACTAACGACGCAACTAGAAAACCCTGACGCGTGCCTGTTAACGTACCAGTGGGTAGCAGAACTTGGCCCTTTCTTGAAAGCGAGAGAATTTCAAGCAAAAAAAAAATTCCTCGAAGTAATATGGATGAGGTATCGGTCATTAAAATACAATGATAAATATAATATAACTCTTCAGTTAGGAAAAACAAAATCACAATCAAATGGTTTACAGAAGCAACCTCACATAAAAAAAAAACTAAGCCAGAACTAGAATCTGGCTAAGAAATACATGCAATTCAGTAAAAAAAAAAAAAATAAATAAATAACGATTTATGGAAAAAGAAAATAAACAAAGAATATCATCAAAAAGTTGAAACAGGACTTTAAACAGGCCACGTTTAAAAGCAGTTAGTGTCTATACTTCTCTTAAGGTGTAGTCTAATCTGTTCCAAGTATTATAGCTAGTGTTAACTGAAGACCAGTGACCTCATCTTCTCTTGGCACCGGATATACGCATGTAATTTCTCGATCTTCTATGATAAATATGAAAATACGACGTTGAACATGTTGTGACAGCAGTGAAAAAGGCAGAAGCAACAGCGACCGCATGGATGGAGCTGATTAAAATAGAAGATATTTAATCCTGATAGGAGTTTTCGATGACGTATCATATATTGATTCAGGTCTAACAATAGGGCTTAGGAGTGCGTCATTAATGATCACATCTTTTGTTCGAGGGGAATATGCTCTTTTGTTGAGAGAACAAAGGCTGGAAGAAACCAATTAAACAGCCACTTAATAACAGGTAAGTCATGCAATTGTTAACCTGTTCCAGGCGTTCAGTTAGGAAAACGGAGAGAACTAGAAAACGGTGCGATCAGGCAGCGGTTGAGTGAAAAGTGAGAGGGCTTTGGGTCGGGTCACATAAAGTTCTTTAACCGACCCGACCCAAGCCTCCATCGGGTTTTTATTCCGCCGCTGCTATCACGCAGTTAACTATTTCGCTCCGTTTTACCAACTAAACTCAAGAAAAACAACAAAACAGAACAAAGAAAAACAGAACACTACGTTCTTAGTGAGTGACACCACACAGTTTGTCATTGTCACATTGCAGCTGGCCATAGTTGGCTCATTTACTAGCCTGCAGAGGAGGCGTAATTTGGGCGAGCTAGTGCTCAGTATTTTCTCAGTCGTATGCGGCCGCCATCTTTGATTTTAATAGCAACAGAAGACTGGAGAAAGAATTTAATTTGTACTAAGGGGGTGAATGACAGATAAAAATAAGGAGAGGGGCTGGGCTGGGGGAGTGAATATTACGCCCGCCCGAAACTCATTGTTATTTTGCAAAACCCCGTTCGCCCACGAACGGAGTTTCTGATTGGTGCGGTTTAGCTCTAGCTGTCAAGCACAAGCCAAATGCGTCATTTAGACATTTCACACTTGCGGGAAAAAGAGACGGTGAACGAAAAAAGTAAAAAGCAATTTTTACCCCGGTTTTTGGAAAGGATCTACAGGCCATGTTGCCAAAAAGGATTAGGAATTATAACGGAGAAACCTTGGAGCGTAGTTGTCGTTTGTTCCCTTCGAAGTATATTTTACGATCAAATGGAAGAAGCATCTTCGTTGGGACTAACGGCAGCTACGCTCTTTGTCGTTTGGAGAATATAGAGTGCGGCAAATATCAAGTCGTATTTTCGTCAGCAGAAGAGGTTTTGGCGAAGGCATTTCTTTCGTTGATGAAAAAAAATCAGCAACACCGTTTCACCAAAATATGCCAGTTCGCATCAAACAAATTATGTCGGGTAAACCTTTTACTACAGTTGTTTATTTGCTTCAAAGTATCGTTTACGATCAAATAGAAGAAACATCGTCAAATGGATTAATGGCAGCTACACTCCAGGATTGTCGTTTAGAAAATATGGAGTGTAGCGAACATCAGCTCATATTTGTGACCACAGGGGAGGTTGTGTAGAGGTCGATAGAGGGTGTAACTGTAGCCAGTTTTTGTTGCCTGTCCAGGCCTCCGCCTTTGGTTTTTGGCGCCCTTTCTGGTCACGTGACCATGTTAGTTAAGCGGTAGTGTGGTCGACTAGCGATTCACAGTTGGATATTTTCGATCGTTTTGGGCGCTCGTTTAGCGTATTTTTTCCAGAATTTATTGTATTTCAAGGCTGGACAAGGTTAGATTTCATCTGTTTTCAATTTTTGCTGCCTTTTTGTGATTTGTATTTGCTTTAAATTCGATTTTATTTACGACATCGATCGTCACCCTAATTAATCTTTTCTGTTTGTATTGTTTTCCTTTATTTCTTTAGTTTTACGACTTTGTT